TGTTAGTGCTCTTGGGCCTTGTTTCAGTCCGTGTGTGGGCTGAGTAGAGGGGAGAGTATAGGAAGTTTTGTTGGGGGGAAGGTTGGGAAAATGATACGAGTGAGGAAGAATAAGTGAAGGCTGTTGTATTAATTGGATTGTTTGTATATGCGGTTTTTTTTTTTGAAAATGGAAGTTAGTAGGACAGGAAATTTTGAAAAGTTCACTAGGTAATTTCCTTTGCATTTTCCTTTGAGCAGATAGGTGGTTTTTTATAAACTCTGGAATCGTGTGTCCAACGCACTTTACGCAGACTGTTTTTTTATTGCAGTTTGCTGAAATGTGACCGTGGATTTAACAAAGGAAACATTAGATGGTAGGTTTGTGTAATTTTTCTCAATAAATCTTAATATTTTCTATATATCTGATGTGGTTTATTTGTACTAGAGATGTCCCGGGTGCGAAAGTAACACGATAAATCGGATAGTTTGTATGTGTTGGAATTTCTGTGCAGAGGATTGGGTTTAAGCCCTAATTTTTAATGTTATTGCATATTCCTAACTTCTGGAAGTCTTATAAAACCTTTAACTTACTACAGTGGTTGTTTTCTTCCCGTACTGACCGTATTGGTATGATTGATATTCTATATTTTCCTTTTGACATATGGTTTTAAAATCGGTGAAATCATTTAAATTTACAAACATAATTTTCAATTTATTTGAGGTAAATTTTATTTGAAAAGCGTTCTTATATTTTTTTTTTTAAAGAGCATCTAGAAGCTTGACATGATTTATTTTGCCGTGTACGTAGATGACAGGAGGTTTTGCGTTATGAGATTTTATGACTAATGGCTTAGGATTAGCTGTAGAATTTTCATGTGTAGAAGTGTTACCCGTGAAGGATACTATGTTTTATTTTCCAATGTCTTGTTCATTCAGCAAATAAGCTGAACTTATTTTTTGTTTGAATAGCCGGATTTATGATGTCTATACTTTTAATTTTGTTAATCTTGATGACTGATGGTGAATCAGACGGCGACGTTAATCGTCTTCGGGTAGCTACAATTTTGATCTTGTCCTTGTTGAGCTTCCGTTTTATCCATTAAGTAAATTTTTCTGCGATTGTGCAGGCCTAGTTGGTGACTATCTTGTTCGGGCTGAATGGTCTTTACAAAGTGAGCCTTCCAGTTGTAAAAGTTGGATCGTCCAAGGTATGAACACTGAATTCTGTCCTTGAAGGTTCGCCTGGGTAACTGTCGAATATTTCGAACTACTCGGTTTCAGATAATATGCTATCTGCTTTGCTATCTAAATTGATGATGCTGAATGAAGAATGATCATTCAAGAGAGAAACAAACAAAGACAGAAATACCAAAAAACAAGAAACCACCTGCAGAATTTAAATAAAAACCTATTAACTACCGCCATACAAAAGAGAATAGTAGAACTCAGAAACCAAAAATGGCAGGATAAATTCAAGAAAATCAAAGATTAAAAAGTATTTATTTCAATATGCAATATCTAAATTTACATTTTATATAATTATATATTTTTTTATATATTTCAGTAATTTGAAATTATATATTATTCTAGATTTTTTATTAATTATCTTGTACCTTTAATATCATGTTATTTTTTATCTTCAATAGACCAAAAACATAAAGTTAAAAGAACATTTATATTATCATAATAATGTTCATTTAATAAGATTTAAAAAACAAATATACAAAATTAAATATTTTAGTTTGGAATCATATTATCTATCGATGAGATCATAAGATATTACAAGATTGTGTTATTTTCTTATTGTTTGTCTAATTTTTTCAGAAACTATACATTCCATAGTTATTTATATGAAATAAACTACATTTTGTTTAAAAAATATATATTCGTGCTCCCAATATTTAATTAGAACATTTTTAAGATTTAAATTGTTCAAGTTTATTTAGATCGTGAATTGACTTTTTAATGAGCATCCGCTAGAAGTTAAAACCGGAAGAGAAGTAGTAACTTTAACTTTTGGCTTAACTTCGATTGTAACTTTTAGTTATATATATTTGAAATAATCTTTCAAAGTTTGCGATTTTTATTGTTTATTTATAATTAAAAATTATTTGATTTTTTTCTATAATTGTATAATTTTTTGTATTATTTTTATGCAACGTAAAAGATTTGTTAAATTATATTATATTTTAGCGTGTTATCGATCATTATTATTCAAACTGATAATTGAATTCAAATTAATTACAATTTGATTAAAATAATATATTTTAGTTCAGTGTTAAATATTCTACGATATTTTTCAATTGTTTTTACGTCATAATATCAATTTTCCCGGGCAAATTTTAAGTTTCGTAGTTCTACTATTTCCCGACAGGGTTAAAAGACCGTTGTTATCTCTTGTGGGTGAGAACTTTGTACGCAAGCTGCCTGTTATAGATAAGAACACAAAGATGGGTCGTATGCACGCACCAGGGTAGGATTATTTAAATTTTAGGAAAAATTTATATTATTACATTTATGTAATATATTATTATATTTATTACAAAATATTATAATATATTATTACATTTATTACAAAATTAGTTCTTTTCTTGTGTGCTTTTTAATTTTTTTTTCTGTTAGAATATAATTTCATCAATTTTTTTTGGATAAAAGATTTATTACAACAATGTTCTTTTAGCTTCCACATGTTTTTTAAAAATCATGATAGTTGCATAGTACTAAAAATAATTTATATGTTTTAATATATGTTAACCATATTCTAAGTAATTTAAGTTTAGAATCAAGAAGAGCTTATTTTTTTTATAAACTTTTTGAAATCTTTATTTTCTTTTTATACACAATCTCAATTTATTTCTTTCATTTTATTTAGTATTTCTGAAGGAATTAATTAATTGTACTTTTCTTGAGTCGTATCAATATCATTTTTGCGTATACATTACATAATTGTTACATAATTGTTATTAAAAGGTATTTTAATAAAAGATATTTTAATAAAATTTTATAATATTGCAGAAAGGGTATATCCCAGTCGGCGTTACCTTATAGACGTAGTATCCCTACTTGGCTCAAATTAACTCCAGAGAATTGCAAAGAGTTGATTTATAAATTAGCTAAAAAAGGACATACCCCATCACAAATTGGTAATTTCTTTTCAATCAATAAAGCTAATTTATTAAAAATTCTAAAAATGATTTTAGATATTAATATAACATATTAATTGTAAATTATAAGTATATCTTTATTCCTTTTATGTTTTATTTATCAAAATTTGTTTAGATTTAATTTTTTTCAAACAAACTGATTAAGATTCAATGTTTATATCATTGTTTATTATGTAAATAGTTTGCAATATTAGAAACATGGTAAGTTTTGAAATAATTGTGATATTTTGTCATTCTATTATAGGTATACATCAAAACTTAGAAATTAATATATGCTACATTTTTTTTAATTTATTTATTTAATGTATTTATTTAAATAGATGATGAAATTTTTCAGGCGTGATTCTTCGAGATTCTCATGGAGTTGCTCAAGTACGTTTCCGTACTGGAAATAAAATCTTAAGGATAGTTAAAAGTATCGGTCTCGCACCCGATTTACCAGAAGATTTATACTATTTGATTAAAAAAGCAGTAGCCATAAGAAAACATTTAGAAAGAAATCGGAAAGATAAAGACAGTAAATTCAGATTAATTCTTGTAGAGTCTAGAATTCATAGACTCGCACGCTATTACAAGTCCAAAGGAATTCTTCCAGCTAACTGGAAGTATGAAAGTTCCACAGCTAGCGCACTTGTTGCGTAATTATGTATTCTTGTATTATTCATTTAGGTATATATACAATATTATTCATATATATAATTTTATGTATATGTATTATTCATGTATTCTTTAACCAAATAAAACTTCACCTATAGTAATTTATGATTAATTTAAATACAAACACTAAAAAATAAACTACCTACATTATCCGTTATACATTTGAAAAATAGCAAAATAGGCACATATTCACTACACGGTTTTCACACAATCATACTTGGGCACAAAGTTCAACACACTTTTCCACTTTAATTTACTTACCATTTTTATGAAATCGACTGACTAGCTGATCATTGAATAAAATATGATTAGAACATGTTCATACATATTTACGGCTATATATAAAATAATAAACGGGAGAAAAAATTGCAATTTCTTTAAAAATTAAAAATGTAATTAACTTGGAATAATTATTATAATTCATAACGTAATTAATAGTATGATTAAGTATCAGTGTATTTAATAGGTATCATAATAAATTCATACTTCAAATTAGTGCATAAATATTTTAAATATTTCAACTTATAATGAATGGGATAATAGAAATGAGTTATATTTCCTTAAATTTACAAAGAAATTCTATCATATATATAAATTATATTATTTGTGATAGAAATATTTTAATTATTATATGCATATTATTATTGCATATTAAAAAATACAGTTATTCGATTGTCGTCAATAAATTAAAAAATTATTTCAAAATAATAAATTCATATACCTCGTCTGTGCTAACATCATAATAAAGCCTCATTTGTAGCAAAGGAAAACAATAATTGTATGTTTACATGGAAATTAGGCTCATCAGCCTACTTATCGTTAGTTTATAATCTATAGTCTATATTCTATGCTACAGTGCCCATGTAATGATAATCAAATAACACAGAACGAAATTAACAAAATTAAAATTTGAAGTTTGTTTATATAGCTTTCTTATGTAAGATAATTACATATTCAGAATCAGATACACTTTATCGATTTTGATAATGTTAAAATATGTGATTTAGGTCATTATTTCAAATAACGTTATTTCAAACAACGCTATTATACATATGCATATTATATGCATATCTACATGTGTATGTTATTTTACGGTCAAAAGTCGGAAACATTTCTGCTGTTATATTAAATGCTATTATGCTATTATTATCACTTGTAAAATTATATCTTAAGAAGTAGAATGAAATCATAGAAAATTTTTTATAAATATAGGAAAAAATTGTTCAGAATGATGAATTAAAAACATATTTCAAGGTCATTGAAATTGATTAGGTTTATTTGATTCCAAATAATTATTGTATATAAATTTACATAAACTGACCTAGATTTTATAAAAAATAATTCAGATGCAGATCAACTTTCAAAAAGTCTGTTGCCACAATTGGAAATTTATTTTTAAACCAATCTAATTGTAAATACTTGTAATAGAATTCTCTTTCATCCTTACTAATTAATAATAGATTTTGATTATTATTATACATATAATATAACATAATATAAAATTATGTAATATAATATTATATAAATCATTATTTTAGTCTATAATTATTTTACTCTTACTTTTACGTTATTTTTACTCCTGGTACATTCTTTTGTATTGATAAAAATATCAAAGATTTCGCTATAAGCAAGATAAAAGAAACACCTTGCATACATAGAACTTTATTTATTGAAATGAAATTTTAATTTTTATCCAATGAAATAAATTTAATTTCGTGAAGAAATCGATGAATATATACTCCAATATATACATATATTATATATACATATATTATATATACATGCATGCATGCTATATACATATTCTATGTCGAACTGTTTATCTCTCCGTAGGTTATGATACTTCAAACATTTTCCGATACTTCGAAATATTACAATTTTTTTTTTAAATCTACTTTACAATTGTAATTATAAATATATATTTCATTTTGATACTACTTATACATACATATATATAAAAATAGTAAGTACGTGTAGTACGTTATAGTAAGTTTAAATTGTTGAAGTATGAGTCTTGTTTACAGTGAAAATCTATTTAATTGACAGTGTAATCAGATTGATAAAAAAGTTCTAAGTAACGGTATGTATATTTACTTCTTTCCTTTTTTCTTGCAATATTGTCAAGAATATTTAAAACTTCAATACTAAATAAACAGAAATATAAAACGCTTAGATTTTAACCTATAATTGGTAGAACGTAACGGAAATAAATTCTGAAGTATTTATTAAATTAGAAATAAAAAATTAATATTATCTCAAAGAATGTTAATGTTATGTTAATGAATACTTATATTTTTAAATATTAAACATTGTTATTAATTATATTTTTATAATTTTTATAATTTTATTTATAATTTTTTTTTTAATAGCATGACAAAGTTTATTTCAATTACTGATGGAGAATCAAGATAAATTGCAACTAGAATGGAAGAAACCAGAAGAAGTAATGCAGTTACATCGATTAAAAATGAAAAAACGTGCTCTTCAAGCACGTATAAACAATGCACACGTTAATAGAAAAAACTTAGAATTAAAGCCTACACAAAAATCTAATAGCGTTGATTCTGATCAATGTGCAAATCAGAAGCGAAAAAATCCTTTCAGTAAAAATGTAACATGTAAAAAGTTAAACATAACACCAGCAGATGTGGAAACTAGTAATGATAATACATTATTTGAGTTATTAAAAATTAAGGTTGCAAAAGTGAATGAAATGAATAACTCAATGCATGATTATCCTTTAACATTTAGTGATGCATTTTTAAAATTGGAAATAAATAAGGATATTTTGGATTTAGAAACACCTAAAGGTGAGAAATATATTCCAATAGATTGGACTTTAAAAACTAAAATGAGATTTATGTCGCCAAAACCATTTCCATGGAATTGTAAATTAAAAACTAGTGAAGAAGCCTCGGGTACTACTGGTTTTGTAAGATGCTTGGATATTAGTGAACAACACTCAACTTTAGATACTAGTCCAAATGCAAGGTAATTTTTATATTTGTATTAGTAAAAATATCCACTAATTAAAATATTTGTTAAACAGGTTACATCAATGCTGTTTAATATGGCAGCATCCTTCATTACCATGGCTAGAGTTATTTCCTCGTTCCACTGGCAAAGTGAGTGCAACTTTAGTAAATAATTCTATGATAACAAACAACATGTTCATTAAGGAAGCTTTGTACAAAGAATGGAGTGAAAGCTTCAGATCGCTTTTTCATTTATTAAGAGCACGACAATGTCCATATTTTTATGTCTGTGCGAACAATTTTACTGTATTATTTCGTGCTGCTGGAATATGTGGAATTTCTGAAGCTCATGCCCTTTTGACACCTACAACACATGGGTTCCGACAGTCTTTAAAACAAGAAGGTATAAGCAAAGTCTAATATGTGAGAAAATTTTTTAACACTATTTTATTTTAAGTTTGCACATTTTTTATAGAAATTGAATATACAATGCCTTTGAGAAAAGATTCTAAACGACAGTCAGATGTAACTGATTCAGGATGTGATACGGTAGATTCAGTTGCATCAAATACTACATTATTCAATTATACAGAGAATCAAAATTTGGATGATGAGGATGATGAGACACAAGATGAATGGTTGCAAAGTCTAGGAGTTGAAAATTCCGAAATTCGTAAAATTAATAATTCTCAGGTAATTTTCAGATATGCATAATTTTATTTTTAATACATTATTTATAAATTACATAATTTTCCTCTAGACACGAATGACATTAGAAAAAGAAACTGAAATAGACAATATGAAAGAATCCCTCATTTTTGTAAAAGGTGTTGAAGCACAAGCTTTATTTAATTTTTTAATTAATTGTAAATCTGCCATTACAACAACTGGTCCTTTGGCAGGAGTACCTCCGACTCTTTTATCACCAGTGGCTTTTCATGGTGCAACATTAAAACCAATTAAGGTAAAATATTCTCATGTATTTAATTTGAGACATAATATAAATTACAAATTATTTTCACTTTTAAAGGTTAAAGAAAGTATAGTTCGTGTTGACAATGAGAGATATTTTTCTATGGAATTGAAAGGACCTCTTCTGCCACATGTATTACCTTTGCTTTGTTCTTCAATGAAATCTAGTCAATTAGAACAATATTCTGCAAGTTGTGCAGGATTACAGTCAACAACTTCATTTTCAGCAATGAAAAATAATTTTGGTAAATATTTTTTCTTGCAAAATTATAATTATTTATATAAAAATTATATGAACAATATGTAATATTTTTACAGAAGAAATGAAATCTGGAAATGTTCCAAAAATTCCAGAAAATGTTTTTGGTAAAGAAAATTTAAGCGATTGTGGATTTAATAGTGAATTATTAAAAGATTTTTGTAGTCCTGATCCAACACATATCAATATTATAGAAAATATTAAATTTTCAAATAATTTATATACATGGTCTTGACAAAAAATTGTGATAATATTAGAAGCAAAGCTCTAATTGATTATATCTATTTGTTAATTAATTAAAAAAAAGAAATTCTTGTAAATGAAATAAATGTTTGAGTAATATAATTTATTCAAACAATAATTAGTTAATTGAAATTATTTGAAGATTTAAAATTAACGTCAACTGTATTATATTTTTTAATGCATTGTGGAAATGAAATTAAAATATTAAATAAGAATAAACATTAAATGATATCATAATTGTAATTATGATGGCAAATTATAATGGTATTAATTATGTTATTATTGATATTGAAATATATACACAGGCTATAACAATTATGTAAGGCTATAAATATTATACAAATATGTAAGGCTATAAATATTATACAATTATGTAAGGCTATAACTATTATACAAATGTATAATAAATCATTTAAAAATCTATTGAGTAACTAAATATCTTAATATTTCATAGAAATTGTTCATCAAATACTTATTTTACAAGACAATAAATATTTAACAATGAATGATAATTTCTTATTTGAAAGGATTATTAAAACAAAGTTACTAAATGCATTTGTGTTTATTTTTTATAAAACAAATGCAAAATGATGAATTATTTCAACTTATATAGTTTGATAGAAGTAGAATTATTTTTTTACCAATAAAAATGTTTTATAATATTTAAAAATTGTATTAAATTTACAACAGAATATTATGATAATAAAAATTATATAATAATATTTTTGTTGCATTTTATTTAATATTATTCACTTCTTTTGTTTTTTATTTAACTATTCACAGAATATATTGGATTTATGAAAATATGCATAACAATAATTCATTACAGAAATTTTCGAACGGGGGCGCGACGAAGGTGGGGTTCGCGGATAGACTACCCCTAAAAATAACGAATCGATATTCGCTCGCTGCCCCCGAATTGGTCGCCCGGTCACCTCGAGTGTGAACAATCAATTTATTGTAATAAGGTATTATTTTACTTATTTTGTTCCAGTAAATGCTTAGTTTAATAAAGATAGAAATATTTTTTTTGAGTAGATTTATAGAATTGTGAAAATTAAATTTCTATTTAATGGTTTAATTGCATTATGGATATAATTAACAAGGAGAATTTTTAAAAATTTTATTGGTGCAAATTATTACGTGAATATATATATATATGTATTCATGCGATGATTGCATCAGTACCCATTGTAATCTGTGCTCATCGTATTGTTCCAAGGTCTTTTATGCGAGTTCACTTTTTAAATCGAACAATGCACTGGTAATATTGCCCCCAAAGGCTTTGCTAAAAGCGATATTCGTATACCAAAAATTTACTTCGACTTCCACTCGAAAATTGGCTTTTTCTTGATTCCAAGTCAAATTTCTTTATGGTGATATCGCCATCGTTATCGTATTGTTAAAGACGATTTGAAAATATAATAAATCTTTCGTCATATAAAATGAATAAGAATGCAAAAAAGAAAATGAAATAAATATATAAATACAAAAAATTAATTGACGTGACATCGAATAAAAAAAGTTTTAATTATTAAATAATTATTCTTTTCCTAAAAAGCTATGGTAATTTTTTACTTTTACCACAGGATGTTTTAAAATTTTATAAGGCATTGAAAGTAAAGTTTCAAGGTGGCAAAGATAGAGCATAGGGGGATGAAATTTTTCTCGAGAATAAAACAACCTCAAATCTGAAATACGAAAAAAGCATGGTTAGGGCGGTGAGAGGTAGAGGGGAAAATCCCTTCTCGCAAACGTCCGATCAGACTGCCGAGAAGCAACCCTCGTACATAGGAGGGTTCAGGGTGGATAAAGCTACTAGATACATAGGGGGTAAGGGATTCGTGCGAAGGGAGGGGACCATCGGTGAAGGGCAGGGGAGGAAGATCCATAGCTGTATTAGTGTGATGTTGCGTGTGCTTTATACAGAACTGACGAAGCTAGGAGAACGACGAAAGAGAAACAAACGTTTCGACCTAACACATTGCGCGAAACAAAGATGGGAGTTGAGAACGAGAAAGAGAAGCTCATTGAGGAACAAAGAGAAATATATACGATAAAAGTATGCGTAGGAACGAGACGGAAATGAATGGTACGTGGGAGCAAGGGAGTGAATGTGAGACAGAACGATCAGCAGCAGGATCGCAGCGTACGAGAGGAAGAGAGAAGTCTCCTTCTGCTGTACATATACATCCTGGTCCCTTATTCCCTGTACGTGCAAAGGGGGTTTCGAGAGGCTAGCAACGGTGGAGCCACGACAACGAGTTACAACCACGACGGCGAACACGACTACTACGACACCGCGTGGGGGTTGCACGAGACCCCCTGGTGGGGTTCTGGCTGGCGACCCCACAGTCCCCCGCTGGAAATGATATCAGTCGCGACTTGGTCGAGGGAGCCCCAACACGTGTCGTGCCCCTCGCAGAGTGAGCTCAATAGTTTACTCGATTCTTCACTTTGCATACGTTTGGTGCGTGTTTTCGCTCAAAATTGGTTATTTCGGTTATTTCGGAGAACACGAAAGGGTGTACGGTGGTTGTGGAAAAGGAAAAAGTGAAAACTTTTTACGGTGTATTTTAATCTACCCCTTTGTCTTGGATCACATCCATCGGATTGATTTCGTTGGTGATATTTTTATTCTACAACTTTTTGTAACTTTCGTCATTTAATCAAAGGTGAGTAAATCTGTAAAAAATGGTTTTTGGTTAGGGCGCATCTGTTTCTACGAAACAACTTTTATGTTTGTCTTTCGTTCATCACTTATTCCATTTCTAATTTAAGAATCGTTCAGTAAATCGTTAAACAGTATCTACTTCTATAATGATTTTAATCAATTATCAAAGCAAACCGATGAAAAAAATTTACACAAGGGTAAAACGACATTGCGAAACTATCAATTAGATATTTGCACTGACTCCGATCGAGCTTAGGACAGCTTCGTACGACATCTGTAGGCTACTCTGTTAGAATTACAACAGTTTGTATCTTTTCCTCTTTCTGTTTATGAGAACCCATCGCCCATCGGAACGATACGATGATTCTATTAACTTGTTCCTAATAGCTTTATGAAGCGAATGGTTGTAGCTGATCACATAATTGACTGCGATGCACTTGTACGACATCTACGATATGTCCTGTTAAAGCTGCAACTCCTTTCCCTCTTTCCTTGTCGTATCTGATACCCAAGTTAATATCAAAGTTTATACTCTCGTTTACAATTTTGTTTTGAAATGAAACATCTTTCTCACAATTAAACATATAAGTTTTAATGTAATTGAATATAACTTTAATAACTTTTAAACGTTAGATTGTCTCGATTCTTTTTAGAATTGTACGATTTATTTTTTCTTTTATATATTTTCTTATTAAAATAATGAACAGTGATTACAGTACAATTATTCGTCTTCAAATACAAGATTTTTTAATAAAAGAATAGTCTCGTTATATTAATGTCTATATTGGTGCACACGTTCTCGAGACGCGACGACAAGGCGCAGATATTAATAGAGTCGACGTTGGGACAGGGCACACGGTTTAAACCGACTCTTTGCTCTCTTGATCTTCAGCATTCTAGAGCGCTCTAACCAGCCACGGGAGATCTTGTGCATTCTTGGATATCTTAGTCACGCGAATCAGTGACCTCGATATGTAATTTCAAATAAATCATAACGAACAAATATTATCGAAATATATTTTAAATTAATCAAGTATTTGTAGTTATTTAACTCAATGAAAAATTAACATGATATACTTTTATAAGTATAGGTTAAGTTGATAAAGATGCGTATATATGAATCAAATATGGAATATATAGAAAATATATAGATAATTAGATATTAATTAGTACAGGAATGTGTTAAAGCATGAGGAAACGGTTAAAGTATAGAATAGATATTAACTTTGATGTTTTCACTTCAGCGTATATAAATGATACTTATTAATTCAAAATTTACAGCTATTTGCATAAAAGATCTTTTTGTTTGATCAAATCAAGTCGTATTTAATACAAGATGTAATTACATATTATGTACTTACATATTATTTGACGAGAAAATAAAATAGAAAATAAAAATAAAATAGAAAATAGTTGCCCAGTAGGTGTACAAAGATAAATGACAAATTAAAATATTTTATTATACTTTATTGTATTAGTGTAACGCAAAAAGAATTAACAAATACAAATAGTATGTAAATATCGAATCGCAACTATTTAAGCGTAAATAAAATTTTCCATTAAATATCGTAATAATAGTTTTCGTTGATAATTTTATGTAATTTAGTAGGCTACATTAATAAATAATTTTACATAAATAGTAAAATGGAACTTATTTTTATTATCTGAAATTCTTAAGAAATTATTTTTCATAATTATCATCTAATTTCTTTTGAAAAATGAAAAAGTCAAACGTGGTTTAATTTAAATCTAGAGAAAAATTATATAATTATAGAATTGTACAAATATTGCTTCGATATCTATTAAATCTTGAGTTTAAATTCAAGTGCAAATAATTTAAGTAAGAAACATTGATATATATTTTCTCGATATCTTTATCTTCACAATCACTTATAACGATGATTACGTACATCTGATATCGTTTCTTTATCATACTGTTATAATATCCAATTGTTAATATTTTAACAATTGGACTTTTTGTAATAAAACTTATTATTGTAAATGGTGTATTCATTTCATAAATAATTTTATGAAATTACAAGGAAAGAAAAAATTCAAAGAGAGAAGAATCACATACTATATTTTAATCGTTCTGTAAGTAAATGTACTTGTAAAAAGCTTGACCTTTGTTGAGCTATCTTTTTCTTTCATTAGATACACCTGCTCATCACGTAATTGTCATAATCAATACATATTGCTGAATGCGTTTTTCAACCGTAATATTACATCAGTGTTTCTCTTTACTACCTGTTTTGCTTACTTTATCATATTTTAATATAAAGTAAATATAGTAAATTGCTGGGCTGTTATATCAATATCAATATCAATATTAATATACAAATAATATGAATAATTAGACATTATCTTATTTAGCCTTTATATACATATAAATATTATCTTTAATTGTAGTACATTTCTTATAATAATAAGTAGCATGTATGAAAAAGATAAATAGAAAAATTGAAGTTATTTATGGTGAAGTGAAAAATTGGAAGTCAGACTTATTTATTTATTAAAATTATATCTTCTTAAATTTGTTATTATTTATCATTTATCATTTCAAATGATAAATACATAAATTTGTTATATGATAAATAAATATTATATAATTTATAATAAATATTATATAATTTTTATATAATTTTTTAATTGTTTAATAAATTAAATATATAATAATACTCTTATTAGAAATTAAAAAAGATTTGTATTTTTAATAATTGATTCAATAGATGATTAACAATTTCCGGTGTTTATGAACATTAATATGTTTTTTTTTATTTTATGAACAATTTTTTTGTTTCCAAAAAATAATAAAATATATAAAGATTCATTTTTACGATGCAATAACATTTATTTTTCATTACGAATATTTTATTTATTATGTTTGATTTTCAACCCATATTGTTCATTTTAATAATAAACTATAGAAAGATATCATATAATCATATAATATCGTATAATATAACTAACATTTATAATATAAATAAGTTTATTGTGAAATTATATGAAAGTTTATTGTGAAATTATAAATAAAATTATAATTATGTGTTTTCACACATAATTATGTAATAATGCATTTGTTAAATTTTCAGACACTCATATTAAATGAATAGCATAATAAATAGTTACTTCAGTTTAATTATTTTATTACTTATTAATTGTTTAAATATATTTGATAATGCACTTATCTTCTATAAATGTGTGCTATACGTAAGATGACAAGTAAGAGATATCTTTTGTTATAAATCATTATTTTAAGTTACTATGTATCATTTTATCATAAAATTTATTAATATCTTAGCTTCTCAATTGTTTATTTTCAAAACAAAATAAAATTATTGAATAAATTCATGAAAATTTAATAAACTTAAAATTTAATTATCTTCTTATTATATTATAACAATAAATTAGTATTAAATAAAGAATATCTTTGTAATGATATGAAAGAATTGAATTTAATAGAATTAATGTGTTTAAATCTTAATAGCCATCTATAGTATTGTTTTTAATCGAAAAAGAAAATATAATTAAATGATGATTAAAAATAATTTTTATGATAAAAATAGAAAACAATCTATATCAAACACAATTTCCCACAAATATATTTCTTATATATACGCATGTTGTGTACTAAAGTAAATGTCAAACTAAAAACATAAGACACATTTAGTCATCTTCATAATTTCATCAAACATTTGATTAAATTTAAATGAAAAATTAAAATTTTAAGTATGGTAAGGTATTTCATAATGAATAAAAGAAACTAAAAGCAAGTTGATTAAATTTCCATGATTTCGTACTATTGTGTTCAGTCATCCACGTGACCAGAACAAGACGTGTTTTTTTTCCTAAAGAGACGTTTAGACATTTTTCCACGCGATAACGAGCGACGGACGATCCGTGTAAAGAACGGCTGCCTCGGTTGCGTAAGGAGCCGTTCGTATTCTCCTGATGATCGTCAATTTTCGTGGTCCCCGCGTCTACTGTGTTATGACGTAGCTACTTCGTAACGAGAAGGAAAAAGGGTGCGTTCGGACGACACACGAGTCTAGCCCCTTGCAAATGCGTGACAGGGTCCACCAACGAAATTATGGATCGGGCCTAGGTATCACGTCTGCGCATGACCACCACTAGATCGCTCTACCCTTCTTCAGCCCACTTCCCATGAACATGAATACCTATCCGTGCATCCTGCTCACTTTCTTTCCCCAGTTTCATTTTGTTTCATGTAATATAACATTACAGTATACATTAAATTGGATATCTTTGTGACTGTATCCAACTTGTGAGTTTTCTATTTAATACTTTTACAATTTTCGATCTTGTTTACTCGATTAAATAACAAAAATAATTTATTTTATTTCTCACAGTTGTTCGCGGTACTTCTACTTTCTCTTGTTTAATCTATATTTTCTCCATTTTCTGGAATGGATGGCTTTTCCTATTAATATTCTATTCTTATTATATTATTATTATATTATTAGTATTCTACTTTAGTATTCTAAATTCTTCATCAACGATTGTTACATTGAATTTGAATATGTATTCAAAATTTTCAAAATTTTGTACATCTCAGCATGCTTCTTACATATTTATACTTTCATGTTCAATACTATTTTATACTATATTATTATGTTTAATAACATTTTCAATATTATTAATTTCTTTCATTTATTTTATGATCACTTCGCAATACTAAATCTTTCTGACATTGTATCTTTTTATTTTCTAATCAATTCTTTATTTTATATTCACCTCATGCGCACGTATGTTATAAAGTAATATTGAACTTATAGCGATTAATGTGCCATTACTTCATTGAGAATTCAATCGTATTTTACATAACTTAATAAGAAAAATAACGAACTGAATTCAGTCGAACTGAAAACAAATCTTCATTTACAATTCTTTCATTAAATTAAGACTATTGTTTTTGTAATTAATTTTTTAAACAACTATTTCAATTCAAATAATTTAAAAATTATCTTTGTTCTCCCATTATATTCTATAATTTTCTTCTTTTAATATTTGTTTTTTTTCTCTGCAATATAGTGTATATAGTGTAATATTTAAAATAATTAAAAAATGAAAATTATTCATTAAAGTTGTAAATTTTAACTATATTGATTATATTAAATTTTTATTAAATCTTTGGTTTTATATTATACATCATATTGTAATAAATATATTTTAAAGAAAAAATTGTTTGTAGAAAAATTATAGCGATGAAAAAATTATTTACAATTACCTATTCGTTTAATTAATGTTGATTATAGTATAGTATTTAAAAATTCATTGAATAAATTCATCACCTGTAGTTAGCATAATAAATAAAAGATATTGAACAAACTTAAAACTATCAAAAATTATCTCGAAATTATTCAAATATTATTAACTAATTGTTTAACTATTTTGCTTTACATTAATTATTATTATTACATTAAATATTACAAATAAATATTAAATAAACAAAATTAAAATTGAATTCATGTTTTTGATAGATACATGAAATAAGAGAGACACATATAGAGAAATCTCAAAATGAGCATTATAAATTTTATTTATCATCATTCTTATCATCAGTTATTATTATTATTACATGAATTTTAAATCAAGTATTTACATTTTAATAAAAAATTGCATAGATCAATTAGAAGTACATAAACCATTAAATTAATTTAAAATTTTTTTTGGAATCGTCTAATGTCAATATAGAGATAAACAGCTATACAATATAAAATTGTAGAAAGAAAGATTTATGGGAAATAATGTTCAAAGATTTGAATAGCATATACTATGTTTGGGAATCTAATATTAATAAATAAATTATATGAGTAATTTATTTTATAAAATAATATCTTACAAATGAAATAAATTTATATTTCAAAATAAATAAAAAATAATGTTATTTCGTTTTTTGAAAGAATGAATATATTAAATGTAATACAAACATACAGTTTAATGTGATATGATCATATCTCACCAATTCTATTAGAATTCTATTAGATATAATATATACGTAATAGTATTGCATACTTGTGATAAAGTAATTTCTGTCATTAATAATTTTAAAGGAGTTTTTATTAAATATGGTCTAGATATTTCTATAAAAGCAGAGAGTGTTTCTTTCCAACTCAGTCAATTTCTTAATTTATTAAGTTCAATTACATTACATAGTATTAGAATAATGGATTATTTTACAAATTTTATTTATCTCAAGTTTATGTATCTGTAAATGTAGAACTAGATTGTAATCTAATTTATACATATTATAATTCTATAATTATAGAATTAGATCTTTAGAATTAGATTGTAAAATGTGAAATTGTCATAAGCCATTTTAGGTACATATTTGGAAAATTAAATGTACCAAATCTTTCTATAACTTTCGCATACTCTTATGAGCAAATAAATTTATATATTTTTAAATATTCGATGTATAAATTTTGAAAATATAACAATGGTTACTATAAACATTTGTACCTGTTATAAAGAAACACTTGTAATATTATAAAAAACGTTTGTACTTTACAAAGAAAAAGTCATAATATTATATATGATTTCAATAATTCAAGAATTTTATATAAATGATAAAAAATTTAACTAATTTGTAATTTGATAAAAAAAAGAAAAAAATTTGTTGAGCCAAAAAAATTTCAAAAATTGTAAGTATGTATGTATGTATAAGGTCAGTAATTAATATTTGAAGAAGTTCAAGAACTTATCATTCCTAACAGTATTATCATCAACTTATCATTCCTAACAGGATTATCATAGTATTAACTACAGCATATGTATTATATAGAACATAAAGAAAATTATGATGCTTACTACAATTTTTGCAATAATAAAATAATATCTTCACTAAAAAGAATAGTTAGAAGATGACTGAATTTTTTAATAAAATTTAAAGATATGTTCAAAATGTTAATTTAAGCTTAGATATAAAATTTAGATATAATACCTATACTATGGATTTTAATTCGTGGTAAGATGAGAATTAGGAACAACAAAACAACTTCTTTTCATTCCTGAGAAATCGAGTTTGAAAATGTGTCAAATATATTTAAATAATTTTTTATTATTTAGGAAGTCATTCTACTTCAATGCTATTTTATTATTCTTGACTTTCACCTCATGTTCCTCTAATTTTATTTAGACATGAATTTTGAATCGTTATTTATAGAATATAACTCAATATTAATTCTGTTTCTATTTTTTAATTATAAAATAAATATTTTATATCATGAAATATTTCTCCTGAATGGTAACTCAAATGTTACAAATATTTCTACAAGAAGATACCAAATAATATTTTGATAAAATATAAAAAATGTGCTATTTAAAATATTTTATTGTATACATTTGCTAAATTAAGTATAGCTGTTCATTTTAGTAAATAATTGTTATTTTGGTGGTTCAATAGGAAGAATTTCTGTCTTATATCTGAGTAATATTTGGGTAACAACTATTAGAACATATTATATCCTTGTGACAAATCTAAAAAAAATATTTATGTTTTACAGGAAATGTGAAAAACTGGTTTTGGATAAAATTAGACATTATTTTATCAATTAAAAAAACAACGCAATTCAAAACAATACACTTTTCATTTTATCACAAATGAGCATGAAATATCACAATGGTAGTCAGGACAAAATATAATAAGAGATTATAGATAATAGTAATAAATTATAATAAGAGATTATAGAAAATAGTAATGTCACATGAATCAAGAAGAACAATATAATTTGAACACTAGACAAATCATGAAAATTAATGAATAAGATTTTGATCAAAGACTCTGTAACATTTTTATAGTAATAACTTGAAAGTTGTTTTCTGAGTTATGTCACTTTCTTTGGAAGAGTGCGATATATAAAGTTAAATTCTTAATTATTTTTTTTTTACAAAATTGTAAGATATAAGAATTTTAAAAAATTTGAAATCACATGTTCAATTAATTTGTGAAAATTTTGGAGAATGATATAATGATATAACATATAATTATCAAAACATTATAATATATATATTCATTTCCTAAACATTTAAATTAATTAAAAGAACAAGAAATGGAAATTCAAATTTTAATTGTTTAATTACTTGAATTTTATATGAAAAATAGGATAACAACGTTATTTATTTTTAATTTTTGTTAGTTCGTTTTCATTAAATATTCATTTACAAATTATTAAAAACCACTTATTTTTACTACTAGAAACTATAAAAAATATATTAATAGAACTTTTTATTGGTGTCAAGTTTTAAAAAGTATACAATTCTATAATAATGTCATAATATCATCTTTTATAATAGAAATTGCTTCATATAATAATTTTGCAAAAGTTGACCAATTTATAATCGTAATATACAATGCATTCAATAAATGTCCAAAAATTAATACAATCAATTATATTATTAGCACTTATAAAAAGTTTGAGAAAATAAGATATATTTAATAAACGAAAGTATATAAAATATTCTAAATACAATATTTTTTATAATGTATAATAGATGAATCATATTTCTAGTTAGGTTCTACTTTTTTTTAATTGTTTTCACAAATTTATAAATTTGCATAAAAATTTATAATTTATTTATTACTATTTCTTTTTAAAGATGCTAACAGTTACAAAATTTTCTTCAAAATACTATTATGAATTGTTATAAAATCTGTTTGAAAAATTGGATTTTTTTTAGTATTATTAACGAACAATTGAATGTATGTTCTTTCCAATACTGAATTTTCAACTAATTAAAACGAATATTAATAGTTGGGAAGATTTATTTAAAAAATAAATGTACGAATGATGTGTTTGATAATGAATATTGGACAGGTTATAATAATGGGTGAGAAAACATTCAACCTTACTTGGAACAATCACCTAGCGAACTTGTCCGGATTGTTTGAAGGACTCTACAAGAGTGGTTCTTTAACTGATACAACGTTAGCTTGTCAAGGTGGAATGTTGAGGGCACATAGACTGGTCTTGGCAGCATGTAGTCCATACTTTGAAAGAGTTTTTAAAGAACATTATGGTGAACAGCCAATTCTTATTTTAAAAGGTAAGTTAAAAGTTGCAATTTTTTAAAATATACAAGCTTATTTTAAATATTCATATAAATTAGTTTCACTTTTTAAGTATATAATGAACAAAACTTAATAATGAAATACAATATTATTGTTACTGTAATTCTGATTGTAATCAATAACTGATGATATTTCTTTATTTGCTAAGATGAATTTATATTGTAAAACGTGTAATCATGCTATTTTGTATGGTTATTATTTTATTTTCTTCAGTATTTTATGAATAAAATTCAGCATTGAATTCAATTTCAATATTGAACACGTTTTCTTGAGAAAAAAAAGGAAAAATAAAAATATAAAAGTATTAATAAAATTATAAAAAGAATGTAAATAAAAAAATATATGTTTTTTGCGTGTGTGTGTGTGTGTGTATATATATATATATTTGTGTTAAACATATATTTATATTACGTAATGAAGTACATTGAAAAATATTTGAAACTAAATATTTAAACAATTTCCTAATAAATTTGAAGTACTATTGGTGTATAATATTAGATTGCAAAAGTTTGTGCCAAATTTTCAGAAATGGTGAGAGCATTATCGCAGTTCGGCATAAATGTTTAGTGTCATGTTACATAGCTATCGAAAGATAGGGTTGTCATGAATCATTTTAGACGTCGCATCGTTAAATTACATTGATTTGTGCACGAGAGGAATTTATCAATATGGAGAACAAAAAATTACATTTTTGCTGTTATATTCCGAGTTTCGGAAAGAAGTAAATATTTATACTCTCTGAACAATTAAAAAGTGATTTTGTAGATTTTGAAATGGTTTTAATCTGAACGATCTTCCGGTAATTGAAAACAATATTGTGCGTACTTGGTAGAGAATAACAAAGGATACAACTGATTAATAAAACTTTTTACCGTAAAATATAACCGTTTGTATTTTATTTTCAAATCATGCACGAACTTTTGCTATCATTCAATATTATACTATTATAATAATACCTTGCATAAAAGATGCATTTCATTATTGTATAAAATTGTATTTTCGCAAACAGGAAATAGACAAATAAGTTATTATTTAATGAATGAATTATATAAGTCAAGCATCATTGTACACGTGTAAATTTATTTGGATGTTCAACAATATTGAAATATTGAACATATATTTCTTCTACTTTTTTGTAGGTGTTGCAGTTGAAGAAATGGAATGTCTCCTGGATTTTATGTATCGTGGGTCAATCGATGTTACTGAAGAACATTTGCCCTCTTTGATTAAAACTGCAACAGATCTAGAGATTCGTGGTCTTTCCGGTGAGCAAAGGAATCAAGAAAATAATCGTAGTCCTTATATGAGAGTTGAGACACGGATGCAACGATGTCACATAGAAACGAGAGTTCATACAACGGAGTATCTGAAGGAACCGTCTGTGATTCCATTTTTACCAAAACAGTCTTCCATAGAATCATTAGAAGATCATATCAAAGTGGAAGAAATTGAAGTTGAAGATGATCCAATGGTGATCGATGGGCACGAAGATACATTCGACGAACCCTTGCGATCGGCAGAAACGCAAATTGTAAGTCTGATTAATACAGGTAAAGTAGTAGAAAATTGTGACATAATCAATTACTGTGTATAAAATATATATAAAGAATAATGAGAACTATTGTCTAAAATAATTCGTTTCTTATTGAACAAACATTTGAAATGAATTATGTTGCATTTGAAGAGACTCATTAAATGGTTAATGAATTCAATATTCTATGTTCTCTGACATTTTTTTATATTTTACATACTCTAATATTCATTGCGTGTTAATTTCAAAGGGAAGTCATTAACGACCATTTTTAAATGTATGCATTCGTCGATCCTTTGCTCAACTTCTAATCCAATCAGTTTGTAAGATGTATCCATATGCAAGATGTATTGAAACAACATATAAGGAAATTACACTGAATATATTTAAGACAATCCTTCATTCGCTTAATCCATTTCATTAGTTTTTATAATAGATTAATAATAAATTTTTTCAAATGTTTTTTAAGTTCAATTAAAAAGTTTGATATAATCAATAAGTAAAGAGTTATTTTATTTAATAATTTTATATAATGTGTAATATACATATGTATGTATATGTATATTTATTGGTATAACTAAAAAATATATAGAAATTAACATTTAGTAAAATGTTAAATTAAATATGGAATACAAATATAGTATGTAAAAATGTATCCACACTTTTGGTTGGTTTGGTATATAATTGTATACAAATTATGAGAGAGAAAAAGATAAAAAATATTGTTTTTGATATTAATGGAAATTAAATTGCCTATTAATGAAACTGATTATTATTGCAATCTTTGAAGTTTTGAAGAATTGCCATTAAGATTGATTGTAAATCCATTAACAATTGCATAAATAAGGTATTATTCTGTGACAATAATTTGTAATGACGTTTGATGTTTAATTAATTAAAATTCATGTGAAGGAGAGAACAACAGGAATCAGATTATTTCTTCTAATGATTACAAGCAGCATCATATAATCTGAGTCAATGATACTGATAACTAAGTTAATGATATAATAATAATAATGTATACAGTAATGATATAGTAATGGTAATTTGTTAATCATATTTGTAAAGCTTCAGAAATCATTAATTTTAAATTGTTTAGATTTTTATGTTTTATATATATATATATATTAGAATGTTTAAAATTTTTAACTTTATAGGTCTATTCGATCAGTTACATAATTTTAATTTCCAATAATTTTATTTTCATAATGCTATTTCTATTATTATTTTATCTACATGAAGCATTTTTTTTCTTATTAAAGAAAAAGAAGAAAGATTCAAAGAATATATTTGAATTATTTATCAAATGAACAAAAAACTTGAGACAAAGCATTAGTACAAAAATTATTTATTTCTGCATACAAGACATGACTTAGCTTAGTTTCTAAAAGAACATTATTATATATCGCATACCGATTTGAGTTGTTTTTAATTAATTAATTAAATTAAATTATTACTAAATTCAGTAAAAGAAATTTAAGATAATAGAAATATAAAAATGTGATTCAGCTATCAGTCTTTAAAATAATAATAATAATAATAATAATAATAGCTATCAATCTTTAATAATAATCTTTATTACATCCTTATCATCTGAATCATGTTAATTGTTTAATTACTACTAAATTAAAGAAAAATAAATCACAATAGTATTACTACATAATCATTCAATAGCACTAATTGTAAATAGAATTTTGTATTGTAATTAAAATTTAAAAAGTTCTAATACAATTTAAAAAAAAAAGTTTGTCGACAAATTATATTTTATTTTTTTCAAGATCATTGAAGAATAACAGTCCTATCAGAATAACAAAGCGAAAGTCTTATCAGAAGAACAAAGCAAAAGATTGATTTCCTATCAAAATAAGAAATGGAGTGGTCTTCTTGCAAATTGCCTATTTCATTTATCTCATTTCTCTAAAATTCTTAGATTTCTTATTTAAATAAAGTAAATAGATTCATTTCTAGAGTTTGTAATTTGTTTAACAATTACAATTGAAGTTACATTATATATAATATCAGCCAAAAATTTGGATATACTTTTACTGCATTTGTATTTCATATTGTTTGTTTTATATTTCACTACATGTTCTTACATATTTTTTGACTATATTGTACAACGACAGATATATTCACTTCTTGTAGTAAAATATTTTAGACAAAGAAATTACTATTAATAATGTGTATTGATATTTGGAGATTTATGTGCATATTTTACAATGTGTATTCATTTTGACCTGTATTGTATAAGTTATGTGAAGTACCTGTACATGTGTAACAATTTTTTACATCATAAGTTCACATTGTAATTTGTAATTAACATTTTAATTTTGTGGTTCTTTTTTTTTATGAACAGAGACATATGCCACCACCAATGTATAAACGAGAAACAAGATTTAAAGGCCAAAAAAGAGTTTCTGTGGGACGTTCAACGAGAAACAATGATGTATTAGAATTCAGATCAAAGGAGCGCATAGCTTCAAAGGAAGAGTCTACGAGGGAAAGCTACGAAGATTCATCGAACACGGTTAAATCTGACTCGAATTTTAACAATGCATCTGCAGATCCTACGATACCGGATATACAGATGAACGACGACTTACAAAAACGAGATAAAAGTCTGGTATGAAAAGATGATCACGATAGAAATTGTATACTTGTGTATTTAAGATCATTGGCATGTTTCAATATTTTAATATTTATTCATCGATATTTATAAGAATTGACAGTGTGATTCACATTTATAAAAATTTATTAATTCTTTGATTTTACGAATACATTTCATTCTGCCAAAGCATATATATCGATTCATTAAATTTAAAACTTTTTATGACCGTTCTTGTAAGTTCAGAGTTGTTTCTATTGCAAGCAATTATTTTCATTAAATTGCCATTCTATTTTCAGGATTCTTCAAAGAGCACAGATGACAGTCTAAGGTTAACTATCAAGAAGAAGGGTGACTGCTCTACGAAGAGATCAGGATTAAACGAAGGAAAAGATGCTAGACCGATGCAGACAAAGTCTGAAAAAGCGCAATATAAACCTTTCTGCTGCGACCTCTGTACTTTAGCTTTTACGAGAGCTTCTCATTTGGCCAGACACAGAAGAGTTCACACGGGTGAACGACCATTCGCTTGCAGCATTTGCCCCCGAATGTTTGCTAGACAGGATAAATTGAAACAGCATTTGGATTCGCATTTACAGTGGCCAAAAAAAAAAAATAACTCGAATTCAAGTTGTCAATCAGCCTCCTCTTTACCTACTAAAGGGAAAAGGGGTAGACCTCGAAAGGTGTCTACATAAAGTAATCATTAGATTGCGGATTTTTTGCACAGTTGTAGGAAATTTTATAAGTTCAGAATTGTACAGGATACGCGTAATATGTGAAAAAAATGTGCCTTCTATAACGTACATGAAATATTAATAATTAATAATATAAAAAATATAAATTTACATAAAATAATTAATTTACATAAAAATCCACAATATAATCATATTGTTATCAATGAATAATGCTTTTTTTTTTCTTTAATTCTTTCTTTTTTAATTCAACTTCATGTGTTTTATTTTTATTATTATTAAGGATGCGTATTTTTGACTTATTTTCTTTTGCGTGAATGTTATAAGTTCTTTATTCACGATGGCATAGGTATTATGATAATTATTTATAAAGAAGTACACCTTGCAGATTTCGATGATTTTAAAATCATGTTATAAAGTCAATATCCTAATAATAAGTAACTTATACACATGTATACATAACTGCCATTCACTTTTATTTTCAAAAAATACTTTTTGCTTTACAGAAGTGGACACATTTGATGAAAAATTATATTTTCTATATTTTGTGTATATTATATTTTATATTTCCTATATTGTCTATATTTTAAATTGTTATAACTTTATCTACATTTTAAACTGTTATAACTTTATATATAAAAAAGATCATATAATGATTCATTTGGTCTCATTTTAAAGTGTGAATGAAAAAGCCTCCATTCTGATAGTTATACGTTTTTTCTTTTCAAAGATGTTTTTGCAAGTGGAAAAATAAGCATACTTTTGTTCTTAAAAATTATAAAAATTCAAATGCCTCTGGGAAAATTAAAAAAGTTTTTTTAAAACTAAATTTATCATGATCGTGAAAATTGAAACCTTCTGCTTACAACGACTCCTTAAATATTTACTTTGCGATCTGTTTTTTGCTATTTTATTGAACTTTGAATGTTAGGCTTAAATGGCAAAGTGTTAGAAAATTTTGTTTAAAATGTTGTTTAACTTCGATATTCAAGATCCGATAAAATGACGAAGAAAAATCATATAGCAAGTTTTAAAAGACGATTGATGATAAATGTAATATTATGTAAAGAGAAGATTATAATAAATCTAGTCATGAAAAAAATTTTTCATAGATTTTCAAAAGGTTTAAATTTTTACAATTTTTGACAACAAAAGTATCTTTGCTGTTTCATCTGCTGCATAATGAGAAAACATCTTTGGAGAAAAGAAATTCAAAGTTGATAAAATAGAAGTTTTACGCTTTAAAATGAAGACAACTGGATTATTGCACGATTTTATTTCACGAAGTTTAAACAGTTTAAAATCAATAATTTTTCATCGAGTGTGCAAATATTTCATGTATATACCTATTGTATTTTTAAAGTATTTTTAAATCTCAATTTAGCATAAGATTTATGTTGGTTTAGATAGGATTTAAATTAAATTGTGAAAATAAAGAAAAAATTCTAAAATTTTATACAAATAATAGAAAAGAGCATGTTATTGATATTATCAATCGTGCTAGAAATATTATGCAGTATATAACAAAATTTTTGTTTTGTTGAAACTACGATCAGTCTCATAACTGTATCTTTCAATATTATAATTGAAAATTTTCTAATGATAAAAATTACGTACTATAAAATTTCATATAAATTGTAATTATTATTTTTTTACAATTTTAATTTAAATGTTAAAAATATTTTTACGTATAATTATTCAGAGTCATGATTTCTGACAACATATAGTACTGTAGATAATTATAGGCTCAGAGAGAATTCTGGAAAATTTCTTGAATAGAAAAATGAATAAATTTTTCTATTCAAAAATTCAATTCTATTCATATCTTGAATAAATTTTCAAAGTTCTCAGAACATGTTTTAATTTAAGCAAGAATTATTTTCTAATTTTTCATTAGCAAATTGCGGAGTTTTATGTAATTTCATATATAATTTTGAATGTATAATTTCAAAAATAGAATTTTGGTAAAAAGCTGTTTTACGTACTAAATATTACATATTAAATAAATATATAAAATGAATATTTTATATATTTCTTCTTATTATATGCATTTTATTCACTTTTGCAATTTAAAATTTCCTATGAATGCATAAAAATCTGCAGTCTATTCATTAGAAAGTAATTGTTTAGTATTACTGTTGTGAATAAACATAGATTTGTGTTTAATTGCCGCAATTTAAATGAAAATTAAATCATAATATATACGTGATTACTTCGTATTCATGTGGGACAAAAAATTCATCTTTATTTTTGTTGAATCATAAATAATTCTTAACTTATATAATGGATTATAAATTAAGAGTTTTCAGAAATAGAGCAGCGAATGTAGAATATTGCGACATGGTAAAATGTTGCATTGAGAAATTACAGACATTGTATTGCAAAATGTGCAATTTTTTCCGGAAAAGAAAAAAAAAAATTATAACTATCGAAACAAGCAATTACCAATGTTCTCTCTGACCGTTAAATGGATAGTACTAAGAGAAACTCGGAGACAATAGCTTCATCGCTGTTATTTTCGATTACACGAACGTTTTCAATTACAATGCAATTCAAGTTCAATACGAAAGATATGTATAAAGATGTTACATTTTTTAAAAAACTATCTCTTAATAAAAGTCATGTAGATATCTATGTACATTGATGAACTTATAAGTATTCATACCATTGCATTTTGTAAAATCATCGAAATTTGTAAGACACAAACCTTTGTTAAAAAATAATTATATCATCGTTTTTGGTTCTTGCTTCATTTTGGCTTTTTTAAAAATATTTTAAGTAAATCTTGAATATTAAGTGTGAAAGTAATTAAAAAATATTTTAACTATTTTTTAACTAATTTTGTTAAAATATTTTAACTATTAGTAAGAATTTGTACGAGCAGATACTAATATTATTAATTTGTAGCAGGTAAATTTAGAACAGTCAGCCATGGAAGAGATTTTAAAATTCGGTGAATTTAGTTCTCTCCTGAACAAATCTCATTCGGCGAATGCGACAGATAAAAATGAAGATTTCGCTTCCGTTGAAATTGAAGCAAAAATCAAAGAGCAAGAAGAGGATGCTGCGGAAGAAGGAAACGAAGACAAGGATAAAGACATGAACGAAGACAAAGATAAAGACATGAACGAAGACAAAGATAAAGACAATTATGGCTGTCAAGTTGAAAATGGTCAAGACATTGTTTAAGTAATTTTCGTTTATTCTTTTCCGAAAGTTTATTCTTTCCGCTTTTACAAAAAGTATTTTTCTATGGGTAAGAAATCACGTGGCTAAAAAGTGATGGAAATTACTGAGCTTTTTCGATCAACGGTACGATCTAAATACTTTTCTTCATCTTTCTTTATTCAACGTTTGATAGTGAGAGGCAAACATAAACTATAAATTCATTAGCATACTCTGAGATGCTAACAAAACTTTACGTGCAATACTTGATCCTTGATGTTCATTCTTTCCCAAAGAAAATTTGTATTCTTTGAATTAGTAAAGTAAATAAATAAGATCGTAAATTGGTTAAAAGTTATAATTCATATTTACATACGTAAGATAAATACGCAACGATATGTACTGGAAACATTTTTAATGTATACAAGAACATTAATTAGAAATTGTCATTTCAAATTGAAACGCTAATGGAATGAAAGCGATTGTTGTGAAACGATTGTTACTTTTATACAATTCGTCATATTTGTTTAATTTTTGCATATTCTTTGAAATTATGTCACTGTAAAATCAGTTCATGATATCGATATTTACATAATTACGTATGAAGAGTGTGCAATGTTTTATTTAGATTACCGTTTTAAGGTATAAATAAATTGATTTGTTATACGTGCAACAACATACGTGCATTCAAAATTCATGTAAGAGTTAAGAAATAACTAACTGAAAATGATTTCTATAAATAGACATTAAATGAATAGCATAAAATATCTAACGTATTTTTTAAAGAAATAACATTTGTAAGTAATGTTACAAATAATAATTGCGTCATCAATGTTACAAATAATAATAGGATCATGCAAACTTATTTAAATTTATTTTTTATTTATAAATGCATGATATAATTTTGACACTTGAAATTCAAGTCCCTCGTTTTTTTATGTACATCAGGTGTGTCCCTTTTCGAGCTGGTCATAGACACAAAATAACTTTATGATGGAACTTACCAAATAATTTTGACTTTCGTAGATATTTATTTATTAAGATTCGTGGTATTCTTGTTATAGATTAAATAGAAATTTGTTCAAAAGAGTACCTGAAGCACCTATGTTAGATGTGAGACTAACTGATGGTGAACACAGGCCATGTAGAAAAATAATAAACAAGTTTTATCTCCCATTTTCTAAGATGGTTGTTTAGGTACTAATAAGTCGAATCCTACGACGATTCATATATATAATACGATGTCGTATAATACGATATTTCTATCGTATGATAAGATTAGGAAAGGAAATTTATGTTGAGAACTCGACCAAATTACTTAAGCTGGGAGACTGTGGTATGGTTTGCATTGTGAAACTGTTTAACTGACTAAAGCCTAAGTTATAGAATTTATTTCCGTTCTTAAAATATAACGAAGATAATTATTAATTTAGGGGAATATTTATGTAAATGCATATTGTGTTGTTCATTTTCTAGTTCGTTTTGATATTCTTTCTATATTTATTTGTTATTCAATTATATACGTATGTTCAAATTTTTATAAATAATTTTTCGATTGTTGTGTCAAGCAAAATCAATATGTGTATTTGTATTTCTAATAGACGCCTTTAAATGTAGGCCTAACAAAAAGTTGGAACTATTTAAATGCCTAAAAAATTTTGTAATATCTATCGATAATTATAAGAAGGAAAGCAACACCTTTTTTTTTCAACTTTCTTCATGCAAACGCAGAACGTTGAAGTTCGTTTGAAGAAATATATATTTCTTTTAATTTACGATTGTAAAATATATGCAGTTAAATGTACGGCAGTGCAAACTACATCTATGCGTAGATGAGGCTCAACAATTCTTAGAGCCGAAAAAAAGAAATGTAGCTTCAAATATTTTGTTATACGCGCGATTATTAAATATAAGTACAAATGTCCAAATATTAGAATATACATGTGCGTAAGTGTGTGTGCCTGTCGTACTATAAAAGAAAATAAGAGAAATAACAGTATAGATATAACGTTCAAAAAATTGGCGGAAGTAATTCTTTTCCGTTCACACGAATGAAACTTGTTAATCTATTTTTGTTTCTTTTTCTATTCAGATACAATAGTGTAGCTTCTTGAACGATTTTCCATTAATCAATGTCTTTTTTTTGTGTTTTTGTTTTTGTAATTTTATAAATAGATATAATTGCGTTCATTTAAATTTAAATTGTAATTCAGTGATTTAAATTTTGACTAAATGAAACAATTCGATGCTTAAAATATGGAATAATATATTTATCGATATGTTATTTATTCGCATCAATTTGTTTATCCATTTTTACGTTGAATATAAAAAGAATACATTTTCATTAATTGTGAGAAAATTGATAAAAAATTGATAAAATAGCGGATCATCATTGATTCCATGTTTTAAGCACAAAATAAAACCGAAAGGAAATTACAAGTATGGAAATCGAGTCGACTATTCATTTTAATGAATTTTACAAAAACCAGTTTTTATAGAATAATATAAAATAACATATTGCATAGTATGTGTTGATGCCATCCGAATTATATCTCTGTAACGTCGGTTGTTGTTGTTGTTGTACGAATTGCATTCTGTTTCGTTAAATTCTTGTTGCTCGATCTACCAGTGTTATACCTCTTGCATTATAACTTTTATTATGGCGATGTGCAATTATTTCAGCGATACGACTCTTTGGTCTGCCGCGGCAAATTACGAGTACTTGGTGCAATCCATTAGAGTGTCCAGAAGGTCGTACGCGAGTCTTCATATCTTACAGTGTATATTGTGTAGCATGTGTAAATAAATTCTAAAGTCAATGTCTATTTTAATTGATACCTTCTTTTATATCGTTTGATATTTCCAGATAAACACGAAAGTTAGTTTAGTATTTGTTATAGTTGTGTGACTTAGAACTATATATAACAATTATCCACAATTACATATCAAAAAATATTAATGCTTTTCCTAATATTTGCAAGTAATTTTTGTACATACATATATGTATCTATATGAAAAGTACATTACTTGTAGCGAATAAATGAAGTTTGAAATTTATATTTAATTAAATACACTAATGAAATTCAATGTATAATATATTGCAATTTGTCTTAATTAATGCAAAATTTTATTAAATTATTAATTATGTTGCGTACGTTGCATTGGATTTAATTTGAAAATAATTGTATGCAAAGTTTTCATGCATTTATTACAGTAAATTTCTTTATTGTATTAGAATATTTTCGACATTTTACGATAAATATTATTAAATTGAAATTGACGTATACATATGTCGAGTGGTATTTTACGGTTAAAATAAAAAAGATAAAAATAAAGAAAATTAAGAATAATTTTCAGGTTCCTTCATAGATGGTATATTATCTTCTAATTATTATAAATTTATATAATTATACACTCAATGAAGATTCATGTAGGTATCTTTGATTCTGTATATGATTGCCATAAATGAAAATCCAATATGTCGTTAGATGAAACTACAAAAGATACGATTAAATACCTATATGTGAGAATAAGATTTTACGTCAAGTAGTTAAATAGAAATATTTAGTTTATTCATTTGCAAATGTAATTATTTATCTTTTCATTATATTTATTCATTTTTCATTATTTGATTGGAACAGATTAAATTGAAAAAAATGAGGAATGTATGAAAGTTAAGATGAAAAATGTAAATATTGCCAATCTTTTTCTATATGCAGCGTTTCTCAATATTTTACCGCATGTTTTAAATATTTATAATGTAAAAATTTTTAATAAATTATATATTATATAAATAAATATGACACATATTTGATGTATATGTAACTTTTGTATGTAATAACTAACATTTAGTACATTTCTATTGGTAAATTATATATATAAATATTATATTATATAATATTATATTATATAAATATAATGATATATATTTGATAACTTTTATATGTGATAGTTAACATTCAGTATATTTCTATTGAAAGCGGATCAAAAGGACTTCGATTTGCATCAAAATACTTCAATTTCATTTTCCATTACTTAAATTTAACTATGAAAAAATTAACGATTTCAAATAAATAGATTATAAATCATAAAAATTACTAAAATTATTTGAATATATTAAAATATGTTTTTATAAATTGTGAACAAAATAATATAAGATAATATTAAATGGCTTTTTTGTTGTTGTTTTCTTTATCTTTATCTTCAATTAATTTGATTAATTTTTATTTCAATAAAATTACTTAATGTTGCTTTTATTGTTGAACATAATATCGAGATAGTTATATCTTATCACAATTTATGATTAGTCGATCCACATAAAAAAAACTTAAAGTAATCTAATATCAGACTTATCTAATATTGAATAAATTGAGAAATGTTGCTCTATAGAATGGGATTCTATATCTTCATTGTTATTTCATACTTTTGTTATAATTTTTTAATAAGTTATATATTTATGCCAATATTTATGCAACATTTCCTTCTCATTTTTGTTCATAAAGTATGCATAAAATATTATGTAAAAAAAAGAAATGTGAGATAGTCTACGTAATTGAAAATTAGGTACAAAATAACATCAGAAAGCATTATTTTTCTTGTTACTCGCAATTATCATTATATTCTCTGACATACAATATATTTTTACAAATATGTTTTCTCGTTTATACACAGACTTTTTCAAGGGTCGAATGGGAAAAGTTACGAATATATTTTTCCATTTAGCAGGATTACATACCTGCTGTTCATCAGATTTTACGATGGTTACATAGCGTCAAACTGTATACTAATATCATTATATCCGATGCCATTAATAAAAAATTATGGAGAAGAATCGTCTGAGTTCGAGATCGGCCTCGAGAGATATCGCAACTATAATATTTAATTAGTAAACACAATTTTAGTGACTTAGCATCATTTTCTAACATCGATTTACTTTATAGCGCTTTTCTTTCTTTCTTTAACTAGCCTTACATTTAAGTTACAATGACAACATCGAAAGCATAATATTCTTTTTGTCTTTCTGTTTTCCGCCCTATTTCTTATTTCTATTGATTGCACTCGTGTAGCTGCATTAAAGAAGAAACGCACGATGTCTCTAAAGACATCACATGTTTCTTTTCACTTGAAAAAAGAATGATTATGAGTTTTTCTGTCATTATTTGCTTTACATTATGTTTACCTAAATTTATCATTTTGATTTCTTTGCTTTTATCATTATCGTTTCAGTGTTACCTACATCCATACTATATCTCTCAAATAAGAAAATTACCTGGTAATAATGCATTTATAACTTTCGTAACATTTATTTTGTATTCATAAAGTAAAAAAGAAATTCATAAAGTAAAGATATTGATCTTTTATATATGTATAAACTATATTGTTTCTATTATTAAATTATTATTAAAGTATTTCATATTTATATTTCATATTTTAACATATTTGAGATCAGTGGATTTTGCAACACTATCAATTTTTCTTTTATGGTATTAACATTAATATAGCTATTAAATTCGTGTTGAAGTAAGATAAATATATTTTAACATAATTTTTATTAAATAAATGTCATTGGCTATAAGTTATTTTTCTGTTACATAGTTGATTAACGCACCATATGCGTCATTGTTAACTATTCTTGTAACAGAATCATTTATATATATTTGTATATTTTTATATAATGTTAAAATCAATCGTTATACAATTAGGGACTTCATTAATAAAATGAGTTACATCACCGACCTCGAATATGTTAATAATTTAATGAATATTTTTTTTATGCGAAATACATTATACGTAAAAATTTACATTATTTACTTTTTCATCCAATTCGTTTTTTTATCTTTAAAATTATCCTATTTCTTAAGCCATAACAAGTTACCAGCTATTAACACTGTTTCAATATTAACTACTTACAGTTTACTTGCACGTACAAATGTATACGACAAGTTTCTGTTTCTCGAGACAAATTCGATCTGGACGATCCTTTCTATCAGTTTCTCCATTCCTCGGAATTTCGTACGTTCTTATCATCGAAATCGATCTAATTGGCTTGTATCGACGCGATTATTCTTACAGCTATTTTTCTTCGACGAATTAGTTTATCGTAGTGCAGTTTATCGTAGGTTTTAACATATGAAATGTTCGATTAAAAATTAAATGATCATACATGAAAGAAGATTCTTAAAGGTAAAAATATTCGTCAAAAAAAAAAAAGAGAATTTAGAAAATACAGCGAAATTGAACATTTCATGTATTACAACCTATTAGAATTTTTAAAAATTATCGAATATTAATATATAGCTACACTCCTGCTCAAAAGATTGGAGTAACCTTTGCTTTTTGCACGAAACAGACTTTCTCATATATTTTTCTGAGAAATAAGAATATTACAATTGTAACTTTGATTTTTAAATATTTGATTTAAATATAATTAATATAATTTATGTAAAATTCCAATACTATAAAAATATAATCTTATGAATAAAATATTTCTTTACTTCAACAAGTCCGTTCTTAATATGTTCTAACATGTCCTAAATTTTTGAGCAGCAGTGTATATATAACATAGTAATTTAAAATAATGACATTTTCTTTTTTTTTTAGAATTAAACAAAAACCTTCTTTAAAATTAATCCATGAAATTTGAATTAAATAGTACGTAAATTAGAGGAAAATAAAAAAAAAAACAACAATTTGTCCACTGTACATGTATTATCTCAAGGTTCGAATAAAAATGTCTTGATTATGAGTACTAATTTATGTGCGTCATTCAGACAAGCAAGCAAACATACAAGTTCAACAACGGTGATACGTACGATAAATATTTTGGACATAAACGGTGATAAATTTCTTCTACGTAATAATATCTATCGTGAGAACTGAAATTTTCCAAGAATGTAAAATAATCACCGTTTAAATTAATGCATAACGCAATCTTCCTTTTCATTACGTGTTTTATTTATACATATTAGTTCATAAGCTGGGCAGGCTCGTGCGAATAATATTGCAACACGTTAACATGCTGTAAAACATAACGCAGAATTATTACTCGACGATCAATTGCTATACATAACAATTTCGTTTAAACAGTCAAATATATGCAGTTTTACGTGTTATATTCAATAATAATAACGATAGAATTTGTTATGAAAATCAGTTAATGATCAATCAATTAATTTTATTGAATTTATTAAATCGTTAGAGTAATTCAAAAGTAAATTCTGTGTTACGAATTAATATTATATCGACTGCCACGATAGATTTATAAATATATTGAACGAGCAAAATAAGATGAATCATCGAGAAAGAGTTTAAATGATATAATGAAATTAAATAGCAGTAATGTAAATAAGATTATATCTTGAAATAAAAAGTATGCTTTCATTATACTCTCATTACGACGCAATATTTTGCAAAAATTAAATATTCTCTCCCGTAGATAAAAATTTACATAAATTTTCGCATGGCAGTCAACGCATTGCATTTCGAGTGTAGTGTTTTAGCAGGTGCACTGTACGAAATACAAAATTGCCACGTACAGGCTATGATTATAAAACATTTTGCGTTACATACATTCGTATTTTAATAGCGTTCCGAGTCTTTAATGATCAGGGTCGAAATCATACATAACGCAAGTCGTTTCAGTAATTACAAATTGCGAGCTGCTTTGTGTGTCACTAGTAACAAGAACATACCTTAAATTTTATCTTATTGTCGTATAAAATGCATATATTTTTTTGACGTATCTTCAAGTGAATTTTTACACTCCAATCATATAATAAAAT